AGAATCGGACGGTTGAACGTTGAGGGGAATGGTCTTCCCAGTTAAGGTTTTGACGAAAATCTGCATGCCGCTGTAACGGATACGACCAAAATACTGTCTTCTAAAGTTCATGTAAATGCAGTATTTTAATGGTAGCAGGTAACAAGTGGAAGTTAACTCAAAGCCAAAGTTCAGGAGACAGTATCAAGCTTGTCTCGATGCTATTATCTCCCTACAAAGCTAATCAAAGAATTTATTCACACTTGCTTTTACTGCGCATTTATCACAGTTTACGGACGTTGAGAATGGTTTCTGATAAATGTCCCCATGATGGGTCTGCGGCATCCTCTACACCAAATTTTTCGCTGTCAGATTGGTACGCCCTAGATAGGGCGCTATGAAAGCTTAGAGATTGTACCGATTACCGGTTTTAACACCCATAGCGGACGAGTTTCAACGGCGAGGTAGAGGCTGCATCATCACGAGAGACTTTTGTGTTAGAAATACAAAGAATTCCATGTTGCGCACTCGAAGGGCTAGACGTGACCCATGACCAAGGTGTAATGCAATTTTGGACATTTTCGGCTTGATTTAGTCAACACTTTACGCATTCCCAAGAACTGAAATCTCGTCCGAATACCTCTCACATATCATTCCCGTCATCTCGTACAACCTTTATTTCCACAACTTTTGAAAAGCCTTATTTTCGCAAAGTCGGCGGGTTTTCTTCGCAGATTACACCATTCTCCATGAACACTTTCATTTTTCAACTTAAAAAGGGTTAACCTCAAAATCGTCGTGGATTGTGCCGTTGATTGTTTCTGCTTTGACTCACAACTTATCCACCGCGAAAATGTTAGGAGAGGCATGAAACTATAACAGGGGACCTATTTAACTACAGCTTTGAATAGGGACGTTATTCGTGGAAGAGAGGGACTGTATGAAGATGGGGCTGCCTTATGGAGCGAAAATGTGGAGGACGGGGTTAGCAAGGAGGCGCTCAATGTCACCCAGAAGCACCTATCTTTATCTGCTTCGACGCACAAACAGAATGATCACCGACTCACCCATGATTCTGAATTTCCTCGTTGTCAGAAGTCTGTGCGACTAAAGCAGGANGCAGGATTGTTGAGAAGGTCGATAATAGTGTAGTTAGATTGAAAAGATATAATGTTAATGGTTGTGAAACGAAACATTCGCTGGTTAAGAGTGAACCCGCACTTACTGGGAAGGCCTTTACTCCTCCTGACGGAATCGAATGTTCGGCACGACATATTGGGCATATAAGTTTCCCTGATTGTGAAATACTAATGTGAAACCTCACGCACTTTTCGAGACACTGCAGACAGAATGTATGCTGACAAGGAAGTACCTTTGGCTGCCTAAATTAATGAACTCACATCAACTACGAAGTTGAAAAGAGCAGCATATCTACAAACTATTTCGAATTCACGTGAAATCGAAACTGTAAATTTATATAAAATACAAGGTAAGTGCAAATAAATTTGAAAATGTTTGCAAACCTGTACAGTTCGGTGCAAATACAGCATATGAACAATTTCTTGATCTCTTTTTTCTGAGAAGTATAATACGTAGTGTGATACGCAAAACGCTCCTCACGACCAATACCAAAAATAATACCAAGAATACCACCAGAGGTTACCGAGCCATCGCTAGACGATGACGAGGTTTCTTTCTCATCATCACCACTATACCGTGGTACCACATGGAGTACACATTTATTCTGGATTCCGTAATACGACAAAGTATAGTTATCTTCAAGCTCTCGCCCTAAATACCCTACTACAGTATAACTACGGCATCGTTTCACACTATGAATAAAAAGAAACTGCTAAATCGAGAGGTACTATAAGTCAGGAGTCCAGATGAGGACTGTCCTACTTTCCCCAGCGATTCATTCCCCAGATGACGCGTTTGAACGCGAACTAATACACACTCAAAAACCCAACCAGTCCATATCTCGATCAAACACACGAGACGGCCTTCAAAGACCCGTGAATGTCTTATAATGTTACCCGAAGACATACTCAAACGCCTTCAAACATCCGTCACATATGCGATGCAACAAAGAGGTAGCATGGGCGAGGCCTACGGGGTGGTACGAGGTCCCCAGGGCGGGGCATTGCAGGGGCTACTACACCACACGTTTACGGGACTTTGAAACCCGTCTTGAGTCAACCAGAGAAGGAGTAAGGAGCGAGATAACGGCGGTTTTCCTAGAGTCACAGGCATCCNTTACTTTCACTTCAAAGGAAACATACCTTCGAATGTCAGCCGATGTTCGTTCGGAGGACACCATTCACCTTTGACGAGCTTATTACGTACATTCAATAAAATCTTAACATCTCTAATGCTAAGCGATGGTTCCACTCCAAAAGTGATCGTCTCGTCAGACAATGTTTTGACAGAGATCTGCATAACACCACGACAAAAATAAAGAGTTGGATAGTTTTGAGTCCGAGCTTTCCTGAAATGACACTTGACACAATCAAATGGAGTCTCCCATGAACTGATGTGACAGAGATTCAAATAAAAGGCCAGATTATCAGGAGAATGGATTACTTTCACAGATCACAAAACCTAAACTGGAGTGCGGCCATCTGAGAAATCTTTGATGGACTAAATAAATAGGTAGAGAATTTCGTAACAGCAATTATTGTTACTGGCTGTAGTTGCGCTTTCAGATAAGGTAAGACAGATTGCGTGCAGAAGCGCGTGAGCGGTTTCGATGAAAAACGCTGTCGGTCGTTCGGACGTGGGGCTATCCGAGTTCGTCATCACACATTCATGTTAATTCGCAGTTCCAGAAGCGCTCTCATTTGCGATGGACTTGGGAGCCACCTGCTGAACAGGCCCATAATGAAACAGATCACGTCATCTTCATCGAACGTTTTGCCTGACCGGCGCTGTTGTTCCGAAATTTTACATGGGATGAGACCATCGTCTCCTCAGCGTTAGACTCTAATTACAGTGCATGGACAGAGAGCTGCAATGTTCAGGGAACGAAGCCCTAAGACTGTTGCCAACGGGGATTATTTCACTTTACTTGCGAGTTTGCGGAAAGATTCCGTTAGCTACAACATCGATAAAGAATGCAACCAGCTTACCAATTATCTTCAGATAGGAAAGCAGTGAATCTGAAAGAGGCAAAAAACGTCTCTCTTCGAAAACTCTCGAGCTGATATGCCAGCGTAGAATCACGAGAGCTGCACACAATAACCAGCTAACTTCGTATCTTGCAAAGCTATGCGGAGAAGCGATGAAAAAGGATCTGAAAGAGAGACGAGCAGTAGTCCTGGGCGAAGCCGCCGAGGCTGGAAAGAGCATTTGCAGACAGCCGGGGCTTCGGTAATTTTAGGACCGAGTTGTCTTCCTCCGTCGCCCTGACGGGACAGTTACTGCATCTCGAAGGGGAACGTCATCTACGACTTACATAAACATATGCTATTTTGACTCGATCTTTTGCTAAACAATGTAACTTAGTCGCAGTACGCAATGCGAAAGGCTCCCAGGATTGGCCAGCTAGGGGCTCGTTCGGATACACATATTCTGAATCTGTCAGCACAGTAATATCGCTCATAGTAGCTCCCTCATCCCCCTAATTCGGATAAATAATTAGTCTGAAAGGCATGATTGAAATACTGCTTCACGCACGTTACACGAATGAGAAGAGAAATCAAACTCAAGCCAAAAAATGAATGGACTTTGAAAACGACAGGTGTTTCTCAAAAATCCTGAAAAGGCTTCTCACATGTGTTGTATGCCGATTTATCAGAGATGCCCACTGCAGCATACCTATCCAACTTATTCACACCTTGTAAGGAAAGATCGAGCGAGATGAAGTAGAAAAAAGTCAGTAACACCTGAGGTTTTTTTATTCTACGTCAAATCATGTGGTCTTTGTTAATTAGTCGTCCTTACTAAGAGAGATGGCATAATCTCAGCGCAAAAATTGATGTCGCAACCTTCCGGCTGCTAGGGGCCGCAGGGGAACTGCTTGTCTAAGGTTCACATTGTTTACGTTAAGGGCAGAAGCTTCGGCCTGTCCATATTCATTTGTTTTTTTTTGTCAGAGTTTTAAGGTTTGAATAACAGGGAAACGGATCTTGTAAAGGACCCCTACTGTTTTTCTCAGACGATTTTCCAAATGTGAATTGCTATTCTGCAACTCACTTCTTCTCTATCGGATAGTAAGTTTGAGTAGAAAAAGTACGAAGGAGTATATTGAATGAATTTAGAACTCCGACATAAGTCAATGAATAGGCACCATTTACACTTAACCAGTACATTTTTTTCTTGTTCAGGACGAAGTCTTTTTAACCTTCTGTTGAGAACTACCCGCTTGGAATACTTTCAAAGATACGTCTCAATGAACGCTTACATTTCACCCAGATTTGTCGGTCTACTATAGATAACTAAAATATTATAGTTGTTGTTTGGTTGTTGTTCGCCTATCTTATGTTGCAATCACATCTCAGCAGGTGGCACATTTTATTTTGCTGCCTACAACTTCACAACAGAAATCATAAATGCTACAAGATTGTTTGAATACACATTTGATCATATATGGTATCACAACCCTTCAGAGACTTAACAACTAATACTGCTAAGTCATAGCGTACCTTGGCCGAAAACCTCGATCCAACAAAAATTCGAATATTCAACTTAAACTTTGCAAAAATCCATACCAAATTTACATAGGTTGTTTACATGGGTCATCCACCAACACATCTAGCCGTTAGGTGAACTGTACTCTCATTTTGGATTCCGTAGAAGGACAAGGGTTTGCCATTCTGAAGGGGTTTTCCTGAAATGAGAGTCATCTAATGCACGAATTCAAAACTGTTAAATGAATCCCAGTGCATCATAAGAAATACCATTGCAAATCAGTATCTGTTCAACTGGTTGGATTCCTTCTCTGTCGTGGATGTGTTTCTTGAGCGTCTCAACAGAATCGGACGGTTGGACGTCGAGCGCAATGGTCTTCCCAGTTAAAGTTTTGACGAAAATCTTCATGCCGCTGGAACGGATACGACTAGCATACGGTCTTCTACAGTACATGTAAATGCAGTATTTTAATGGTAGCAGGTAACAGGTGAAAGACAATTAAAAGCCAAAATTAGGAGAAAGGGACAAGCTTGTATCGTTGTTACTTTCTCCCTGACAAGCTAATCAAAGGATTTATTCACATTTGATTTTGTTGCGGATTTATCTCTGCCCAGGAAGCGCGATATGGATGCTGCGTGCAGCTATTGACATCACAATGTCGTACAAACGTAAGGAACTGATTAGGGCAATGTCCCCAGGCCACTGTGATGATGCTCAGAATGTTTTGAAAAGGGATACTCGCGTCTCAATGCACGATTCACGATGAAAATGGTTCTGAGAAATCTTCCTCTGATGAGTCTGTGATGTCCCCCTATACCGTCTTTGGCGCTGTCAGAACGGTGCAGCCTAGAAAGGGCGTTATCAGAGATTTTAACACCCACAGCGGACGAGTTTCAACGGCGTAGTAGAGGCTGCATCATCACGAGAGACTCCTATGTTGGGGATACAAAGAACTAGACCGTGAACCATGACGACGGTGGAAGGCAGTTCTGGACATTTTCGGCTTGATTTAGTCAGCCCTTTACGCAATCCCAAGGACTGAAATCTCGTCCAAATGCCCCTCACATATCATTCCCGTACAACCTCTATTTCCACAACTTTTGAAAAGCCTTGTTTTTGCGAAGTCGACAGTTTTCTCGCTTTCTTCGCATCATTATCCATCAACACTTTCATTTTGAGAAAAAACGGTTCAACCTCAAAACTATCACGAACTGTGCCTTTGATCGTTTCTGCTTTGACTCAGACCGTATCCACGACGAAAATGTTAGGAGAGGCATCAAGGCCTCATTCCATTGTGAATAGTGCGATGGGACTACTCTATGGAGCGAAAGTGTGGAGGACGGGTTTAGGGAAAAGGAGCTCAACGTAACCTTGGAGCATCTTAGACTCACAATATGATCATCGACTCACCCATCGCTCTGAATTTTCTCGTTGTCAGAAGTCGCGAGTAACGCAGGATTGTTGAGAAGGTCGATAATAGTGTAGTTTGATTGAAAAGATATAATGTTAATGATTTTGAAAGGAAACATTCGCTGGTCAAGAGTGAACTCGTACTTACTGGGAAGGCCTGTACTCCTTCTGACGGAATCGAATGTTCAGCACGACATATTGGGCATTTAAGATTCCCTGATTGTGAAATAATGTGAAACCTCACGCACATCTCGAGACACTGCAGACAGAATGTATGCTGACAGGGAAGTACCTTTGGCTCGCTAAATCAAAGAATTCACATCAGTCATGAAGTGGAAAGGACTACCATATCTGTAAAATTATTCCGTCAGGTGAAATGTAAATTTCAAATCCAGTTCAAAAACAAGGTAGGTGTAAACAGTCTTGAAAATGGTGCCAACCTGTAACGTGTGGTGCAAATGCAGCATGTAAGCAAATTTTCGATCTCCCTATTCCGAGGCGATCCCACTTCTTCACAATACGACGGCGCGACTACCCTAATTCCACTTGGATGCCGAGATTCTACTTCGACTATATCTTCATTCTGGATTCCGTAATCGGACAAAGTATAATTGTCCTCAAGCGTTCGTCCTGAACACCCTACTACAGTATAACCATGGCATAGCTTTAAACGATAAATAAAGAGAAACTGCTAAGGGGGTACTATGAGTCAGGGGTCCAATCGTATAGTACCCCCTTAGCAGTTTCTCTTTCTCTTGAAATGATTGCTATTTTCATACGATTCGTTTCCTAGATGACAGTTTTGAACGCGAACTAATGTCCACTCAACGATACAACCAATTCACCTCTCGATTAACCACATCAGGAGTAAGGAACGATATATTGGTTCAATCATCGTCTTACTTTAAAGTCAAAGGAATTTACCTGCGAATAACAGCACATAATCGTCTGGAGGAGCCCATGTACCTTTGACGAGCTTGGAATGCACATTTAGTAAAATCTTGACACCTTTGATGGTAAGCCATGGTTCCACTTCAAAAGTGTTCGTCTCACCAGAGCAAGTTCTGATTGAGATATGCATTCTACTGCAGGACGGAACAACTGATGCGTGTGCTAGTTCTGATTCTGAGCTTTCCTGAATTGATTCCTGACAATCGACAGAACTTGAGATGACTTCATGAACTGATGAGACAAAGAATTTTAAAAAAGGCCACAGTCCAAAGAATGGATTGCTTTCACAAATCACAAAACCTAAACAGGAGTTCAGGTCATCTGAGAAATCTGTGATGGACTATACAAATAGGCAGAAAGTTCCGTAATACAAATCTTCTTATTAGCTGTAGGAGCGCTTTCAGACAAGGTAAGACAGAATGCGTTCAGGAGCGCGTGAGCGATATCGATCGATGTCCAGAATAATGAAAAACGCTGTCAGTGTTGGCGCAAGGCTGTCCGAGTTCGTCATCACCCATTCACCTTAATTCGCAATTCCAGAAGCCCTCTAATTTGCGATGGAATTGGGAGCCACCTGCTGGACAGACCCATAATGAAACGGATCACTTCAATGTTTTGCCTGACTTATTCCGAAGTTCTACACGGGATGAGACCACCGACTCCTCAGCACTAGACTCTATTTATCAGTGCATAGACAGAGAGTTTCGAAATCGAGAAAACGAAGCCCTAGGACTATTGTCAACTGGGATTACTTTACTTCACTTGCGAGTTTGTGGAACGATTCCGTTAGCTACAACATCGATGAAGAATACAACCAGCTCGTCAAACATCTTCAGATAGGAGAGTAGCGAGTAGAAATAGTGCTAAAAAGTCTCTCTTCGAAAACTCTCGAGCTGATATGCCAGCGTAGAATCGCGAGAGCTGCAGGCAATAATCATCTAACTTCCTACCTTGCAAAGCTATGCGGAGAAGCGATAAAAGAAGATCTGAAAAATAGAGGAGCAGTGGTTCTGGTCGAAGCCACCGAGGCTGAAAAAAACATTTGCGATGCCAGTAGGAGCCTTGTTAGTTAGAAGACTAAGATGACTTCCTTCGTCGTTCTGACGGAACAGCAACTGCATCTCGAACGGAAATGGAAAAGCACGGTCCACGGAAAGGACAAGTACGGGTTCGAGTCCCGTCCGAGNTAAAAGAAGATCTGAAAAATAGAGGAGCAGTGGTTCTGGTCGAAGCCACCGAGGCTGAAAAAAACATTTGCGATGCCAGCAGGAGCCTTGTTAGTCAGAAGACTAAGATGACTCCCTTCGGCGTTCTGACGGAACAGCAACTGCATCTCGAACGGAAATGGAAAAGCACGGTCCACGGAAAGGACAAGTACGGGTTCGAGTCCCGTCCGAGACTGGAGTTTTGCCCACAAATCGCCAACCTTGTGAGGAAATGGAAAAGTCCACTTCCACTCTGATCTCTTGCACAACTACGTATACCTGCATATCTACCATTTTAGGCAAGGCAGAAATATCGTCTTTCTCTCTTCCGAAATTCGACATGCGATTACGCCGATGACGAATTATAGTTCGCTCGGTCTCGAGAGGATCAAAGTAGAACATCTAAAGTGCCTTCTCCACATCTTTGTCAAAACCCTGGCTAGACTCTTCACGCGCTACCTAAGGGAACGCGAATTGCCCACTTCGCGGAAAACTAGCAAGACTGTGTTGCTGTATAAGAAAAGAGATCCAGACGATATTGGCAATTATCTCCCGATCTGCCTGCGGTCTGTAATTTTAAACTTCCCACACGAGTCATCTTTGACAGGAGTAGCACAATACTAGAAGAAGTGCAGCCACACGAGCAAACAGGAATTCGGAGAAAGTTCATTACAATCAATCATGTCCGCACCGTTACAAGACTCAATGACAGCTTCGCGACCAGGATTTCGCCATTCCACAAGGAATTCATTATCAGCGTGAAGAGAGTTGTCTGGCGGAGCGATACATCTGGCCCAAACTCTTCGGTATCGCACTTGAGAACACCATGCGTTATATAGAATGGATAGTTATGGGAGTGAAAAACGATTGCCGTTAGTTACATCGTAACAGACCAAATTTGCTGGCCAAATTTGACAGCGCTTGTGGAAGGATAGATTAAACCAAACGAAGACGATGTAAACGATGTTTATGTTAAACGGATTGGTACCTGATGCTCCCTTCACTTTGGCGAACGAACATCTCTGAGTGCTTTAGCTACTGTGTCTAGACTGAGAAAATAATGTGATGAAGGACCTAGCCGAGCAGTAGGAAACGTGCACGGTGGGGAGAGTTTAGGAGCATCGAGGGAGTAGTGGACTGGAGTAGCGGAAAGGAGTAGAAAATAAGGAATACTCCACCCTCACCTTTTCGACATTGCAGTCCTTCCTGCGATGGCATACGCCTCAGACACTTGGACAGTAAAAAAGCAAACTGAACATGTAATCAGTTTTATACAACTCTCTGTGGGAAAGGTTTTCTCATAAACCCAAGTGCAGAGTGAAATCAGGAGTTTCGAATTCCGAAAATGAGCGAAGATTAGGGGTGGTGTTTTTCATTCCAAAAAATCCAATGTCTGGTGCACCGGGCACGTCTTGTGGTATTGTGTTGACTGCAGGAGCAAGGTGATTGCTGACTGGATCGCTCGTAGCAACAAATGAAGAAGTCAGGCCACTCTTCGCTGGAGCCCTGAACGAAAGGAATGCTTTGCTCCGTATCTCTCGGGGGAGAGCTATCCACTGAACCACTTTGGCTCGTGACAGGGACGAATGGAGCGCTACAGGCACCTGCTAGAGGAATGCGATGATCAACGGGACTACAGGTGATACAGGTGGTACAAATTGGAATGCTGAAATCTGAACATTGAGAAAGTATTTGAAGCAGCAGTCAAGCCTATCACAAGGCTTTTTTAGGGAAAGAACGTTTCATATCTTGAAAAGAAGTGTAAAGAATATTGCTAACAATACCCGTAGTTGTCAAAGCTGTAGCCTCCAAAATCTAAGCGGTTGAATTTTAAACATTCTGTAACCATGTACTCGCGAGTATTATATAAGCAATCAGTTCAAAGAATCTTACCATTACCTCACCTAGGGCCGAATTCATTTGCTTGAACAAACTCTTGATGATACATCGACTCTGGAGATGCATGATAGCGAGAAGTATTTGAGCTGTTCATTATAGCACTCATGATAAGCTGAGCGAAATTAATATTAACAAACAGCTACTCCAAGATGCCAGCGTGGTTCATTTGTACAATAGGCTTCTCGTAGACCTTGAGGCAGTTCCAATTTGGAGATGTGCTTTGAGGTGGTTCGTGTTCTGCTGGCGTTAGAAGTGATACTAGCGTGTCACTACGTGGTAAGTTCGACTACGCATTCCTCCGCTAAAACTCAAAATTGCCTGCTTTGCAGCCTCCGAACCCGGAACAGGTTCTGGTTGGGAAGACGGAGTATCCAGCACAATCCCGATCAAGACGAGATGCATCGTGGGATTGGATACGGATTAAAATAGAATACGACGCTTCAGTCAACCAGTAAGCTGCTTAATTTTGCAAACCTGGCCTATCCTATCAGGACTTCGATGAGATGTTGGATGAACTCAGTTTGTGAAGTAAGGAGGCGGGCGATTCTGCTCGCGAGACTAGCGCTGACCAGCCGTATTGACTATTCTGCTGAGCAGTCCATTCTTATGACTGAATACTAGCTTTCCGGTGATGAAAGGACGCTCTGAAATCGCTCTGTTGACACCCTTTCAGTCACTGAATTAGGCCATTTGACAATTAGACATTCGACCAGTGAAATGCTGCGTCTCTCATAGCGCTGTTAGAGCACAAGCAGACTCGAGCCTTCAGATCAAGGGACTGCTTCTTAATCGCTCCGTTGGGTTTTTGGTTAGAGTTTCTATCCGGGCAGGGATCGGATTGATGACTCTTATAAGCACAGACATAGGCCAACTCTATTAGTTGTACAGCCGTAGAGAACCAAACAAGTGTATAGCAAGGGGCAAAGCTTATAGGGATACGAAATCAATGTTGGGCATAGGTTGTCTTGGATCTTTTCACGTGCTGAAAGATTATAGAAACAAATTCGATGATTCTATTTTATTACCTTTCAAATTTATAGGTTAAATGAAGAGAAGAGAAAAATGCTAGAACGTCTTGTCGCTGTTGCTCATGATTATTTTGAATCTACATTGAAAGTGAAACGCCTGCTCAGTTTACAGTTACCTCAGTGGGTAGTTCTCCAATTCTTTGTTGTGTTGAGTATCATGACAGAACCCTTCCCATGTTGATAAGAGGATACAGTAGAAACAGTCAGCAAAAACGTCTTTGACATTGATGGAACATCTGTGAGACATTTTTTGAGTTTTGTGATTGTGCAGCTCCTGATATCAAATCACATGTATCTGTGAGTCATCCGTAGAAATGGGTAAGTATAGGGTCGTGGGGAACTTCTCGCCGATACGAATTTTTCTTCCTCGCCTTCATTTACAGGCGCTCTATACAACCCTTTCCCTTCTATAGATAAGGGTTTGCCAAGATAGCCCTTCCGCTACCCCACCCTTAGTTGGTTTATTCGTTGCCAATTGCTTCAACCCCAGAATTCTAATGAAATAAGCTTTCAGACTGTGTATAGAAAAAGATGGGAATTTC